AGGCAAGTATTACGTGTACTGTTCATTTGTTAAAATGTAAGAAATCTCGAGAGATTGGTTTAATTTTTGTGAAAAAGTGAACAAAAAGTAATATAGAAAATTGGGCAAAAAGGATTTCTTTTTATTGATTGTATTTTAAACTTATTTTTTGGACATATATGTATATAAATTTCTTTTATATCAGCTTTCTCATAACATTTTCATAGATATATAATTATATTTCTTTATACAAATATACATTTTTAAGTTAATTTAATATTTTTCTTAATTTTTCTATATTTTTTCTTTATTTTTCAATATATTTACAATTTATTTTTATTAATTTTCATAAATTTTAAATTATTTCATCACAATATTAGATTTATTCGGATGCTTTAATATGCTCCAATATGTTCTTACAATAGCATTTACTCACTTCAACGAATTTGTTGGATTGCGAATAAATCTAGTGAGTTTTGCGAGGAATTTTGACTAGAATAAAAAAAGGATGGAAAGAAAAAGAAGTTTAGGTGGTAACCGTGGCAACGCCAAGTAACTTACTTATTTCACGCATGCGCACTCTAACACTAACATTAAAGGTACCGACAGAGAGATGCGCTACTGTATATACTGTGATTTAGATGACCACTTTTGAATACACTTTTTGACGGCCTCGTCCACATAAGTTCGGTCTCCTTCATGGACGTATGAGTATCTAGACGGAGCAGAAGTAGCAGCAAGTCTATGTTTCGTTCTTAGTTATTTTTACTTTCACGACTGATATGACCGGATGTTGCATCAGCGATCATGAATATATCATAGAATTGGTAAATTGTATTTTGACAGCCGACCGACGTAACCTGTTTTGATCAGTAAAATTTCTGAAATATTCCAAAACTTGATTGAAAGAAGTCGGAGATCGAAGCTTTTAATATATCAAATAAGTTGTAGTTTTGAAGAAGTATAATTACTTTTACACTTGCTAATAAGAAAATATACTTGGTGGTCCGTTTTTCTTACACAGGTAATAAAATATAAGCGAAAGGATAGTTAACAATGCAGTGTTTGTGACGAGGTTTACTGGAGACATGCACAGAAAAATAATCCCAGATGTCTAATCATAAAGTATTTCAGGGCATCATATTAAGAATGAGGTTAGTAGAATTAAATTGATGCTTAAGGGAGTAAATCATAAGTCGACGTAAGTTTTTCTTATTTCTAAATAAAGATTTATATAATTTATATATCTTATTATATGTTTCAGGACAGACATTGGAGATATAAGTTACTGTAAAAATATTAAAAACATAAAATTATATTTTTACTGTGATCGCCTGACAATGTCAATACTTTAATCATAGAAATAATGATGCTTTTATAAATAAAAGGGAGCATACAGCCACAACATTAGATGTCTTAAGCAAAAATCATATATTTAAAATTATAATATAGTAACGTAGACGTTTCGGTCAAGATATGACAATCATCAGTACATACAAAAATAAAGATGTCAAAAATAAAAGGATAAAATTAAACAATAAACGTTAGTCAGAAAAGATTGTAAAACAATTTTCAATTCAATTATAATATGAGATAACAGAATAATTTGACAAAACTTAAAGTTGAACATTACTTAATCGCTAATGAATTATTTTCTATTACACGTAGGATTCCTTATTACAAGAAGTAAAGTGCGACTCCATGTGGCAAATACGGAATTTCCAGATTCTAATTGAAATAAAAAAAAAGAAAGTGATTTTAGTTAAAAAATCACTTTCTGTTTTTTTATTTCAATTAGAATCTGGAAATTCCGTATTTGCCACATGGAGTCACATGTAAAGTAATACTTTACAATATTACTTTAAATTCTTATTCGTGCGAATTAATTTAGTTACATAGTAAAAATTGCTTACCACATATTTTTTGGCGCAAAACCTCGTAAGTGCAATTCGAAGTTAGTATTATAAAATTAAACAACAAGAATTGGAACTTTTTGTAAGAACAATTACTGATAAAAATGTGAAGGCACGTAGCAGGCGATACCTATTATCTTTATAAGTATTGAAAGGAAAGGAGAAGGAAGAAAAGTGGAGAGGGATATTCTATTGATGAGTAGCGTGACTTTTTCCAACGATTGGTAGATAGATTTCTGCAAAGCGTTCTGTGTCACTGTTTATTTGATGCTTTTTTTTTTTAATTATAGGTCTTTTCTTCTGCTGAGGATGGTAGACTACGTGTATAGAGATCTAAAGGTGCAAGAGCACCACAGTGGTAGAATCTCATGCAGCTTTTGGGGAAGCATAAGTGCTGCAGGTATGATAGAACTTCACCAGACCATGGCACGCATGACAGCAGTAGAGTATGTCGACATTTTGGAAACAGTCATGCTTTTCAGTGCGCGAGCGAGATTTCCAGCAGACCAACATCCGGCCATTACGTTCGTACGGGACAACAGTGCTGTGTTCACAATGCCCACGTGACACGAAATTGGTTCAATGCTCATCCCGAGGTGAAAAAAATAGATTGGCCTTGCAAGTCTCCTGACTTAAATCTCATTGAAAATTTGTGGGGAATTGGTCAGGCAATGGAGATCCAGACAGCACAGAACTCGCAACGCATTAATCCAGCACGTAAACAACGTATGGAACAGGCTTCACGACCGATCTGAAATGTGCCAGCAGCTAGCTCAGTCAATGAGAATCAGATTACAACGGATGATTGACAACAATGGCTATTGAATTGATTACTAATTGTTATATGTGTTATGTTATATTAAATATACAATATAATGTGTTATGTTTATTTATGTAAATAAAAATATGTGTTATATTACATTTATTATATATCATATTATATTATATGAAATTGATTAATATTTTAAATATATCTGTTCATCGACTTGTATCTCCAATGTCTGTTCTGAAATATGTAATAATATGTACAAATTATATAAATCTTTATTTAGAAATAAGAAAAACTTACGTCGACTTATGATTTACTCCCTTAAGCATCAATTTAATTCTACTAACCTCATTCTTAATATGATGCCCTGAAATACTTTATGATTAGACATCTGGGATTATTTTTCTGTGCATGTCTCCAGTAAACCACTTTTCGTCACAAACACTGCGTTGTTAACTATTCTTTCGCTTATATTTTATTACCTGTATAAGAAAAACGGACCACAAAGTATATTTTCTTATTAGCAAGTGTAAAAGCAATTATACTTCTTTAAAACTACAACTTATCTGATATATTAAATTCGATTTCTGATTTCTTTCAATTAAGTTTTGAGATATTTCAGAAATTTCATTGATCAAAACAAGTCACGTCAGTCGGCTGTCAAAACATAATTTACAAACGCTACAATATATTTATAATTGCTGATGCAACATTCGGTCGTATCAGTCGTGAACGTAAAAATAACTAAGAACGAAACATAGACTTCTAAAATCGAACTCCAGGCATTCGTGCAACGCAATCGTGTACACAAAATCGGAACGACGGAATGGATTTCTTACTAGGGCTACGAGGAAGATTTTACTCTATATGCTATAGTATACGTTATGTGTACTATATACTTGAAGTAAAATTTTCCTCGGAAAGTTTTGGAACGTAGCCTAAAAAATTGAGTTCACTACAGTTCCGTTCTGTAAGAAATTTCTCTATCTGTTCCATATAGCTGGAACGGAATGGAAACAGACAGAAAGTCGTAAGCTAATTTGTTTAATTTAATCGATATTTCATTATTTTAATGCGACTAAAAGCAATAATATGTAATAATTTGTGCAATTATCTTACCTACGACATTACTTTGAATACTAAATTATAAGAGTGAGATATATTTTGTTACCAAAATTCCATTGCGTTCCGGCTATATAGGACGGGTAGAGAAAATTTTTACGGAACGGAATGGCATGTTCAGCTGAGTTAGTTGAATCTAAAAATTGAAACGAATATTCAGAAACTTTTTTTGTAAATCTAGAACAATGGATGAAGAAGTAGTTATTACTAATGTTAAAATTATTGCGATGTGCCAAGTTGGCGTGCCGTTCTGATATGTATACTCTTGTATGCAAAAATTTTATTTCGCTTATAATGTTTTATCGCAACAGCAGAAATATATAGGAAAACGAAGATTCTGGATACAGTCAATATTTACACAAAGAATGGGGCGTTTTCAAGGCGCAAGTGACAATTTAGTCCTTGAAATGCAAACGATCGATCGTGATAAATTCTTCAATTACTTCAGAATGACATCGGAATTATTTAAAGAATTGCTGGCATTATAGTTGGACTGTATGTATACATAAAACAAGAATATGTCGTATTGAAAAATAAGAATTATTATTAATTTTCTTTTTCAAAGTTGTCAAATTCTCAACCATCAACAATAACAGGATCGACATAACCTGCAATCGATATGACGTTCCATTGATTCCGGTCACGATTCCGGTGATTCCGATACAGTAGAGAAACTACTTCCGGAACGGAATGCTAGTGAACTCATTTCTAGTAAGAAATCTGTTCTGTCGTTCTGGTTCCGTGTATGTATGTATATGGGACGACATCCTTAAGCGGGGGGAGCACAGACTCTTGTATAACGCATAACGTGTAATGCATAAGAAAATGAACCAATCAAAGTCCTTTATTTTCTTTCTTTCCATGAAATAAAAGAAGAAATTTTGATTGGTTGATTTTCTTATGGCTCATGTTTTATGCGTTATGCAAGAGTCTGTGCTCCCCCCGCTTTAGCCCGAATGTATGTATGTACAATAAATTTTTAAGCTTTATGGTATATCCACACAACTTGCATAGCTCATAATATAGCTCATGCATAAAGAAAATTATCCAATCGCATTTCTCCTCCTATATAGACGCACGTCAAATGTGATTGGATAATAATTTTCTTTATACATATGTTTATGCGGCTATGCAAGTTGTGTGAATATACCCTTTCAGTCTGTCGAACTGATTTGGAATTTGAAGGTAGGAGCCATCAACTAAGAGGGAGAAGAAGATGTCGGACTGGTTTGGTAAAGTTTGGTTTGGTTGTGACGGCTGTGTGGGTCGTTGTGTGGTTTTGTGAATGAAGAGTGAAGTGGAGTGAAACTCACAAAGCTGTGTTGGAAGTTCGTTTATTCGAACATGGCAGTGGTAAAGTGATGATTTCGAGACTCCACTCTCGTGATAGTTGTGAACACCGATGAAACGACAATATGAACGGCTGGCCCGACGTACCAACTCGGACCCGCTAACGTACATGCAGAAAACAAAGAAAACGTTGGGGTCGTCGCGAACGAGCTTTCTACAGGTGAGTCGCTTCTTACGGAAGTTTTACGGAGTTTTCGGAAAAGCGGTAGCCAACGAGAAATGCAGTCTAGGCAACTCGTTCGAGCAACTCGTCTTTTAGCGATACTTTTTATCGGGGTTTTTACTTTTTAGTCAGCGGAAGTCCTTATTTAGTGAAATTAGCTAATAATCAACTTGCACGGCTAAGGTTAAGATTGCTTATATATATATAAGATTACCGACTACCGACTCATCGTAGAATCCCCATTATATAGTCAATGATAAATTATTATGAAATGCAATTTCGTTTGACATGGTAGAATGAAATATCTGACATGCCGCTACATCTAGAAAGATGAGACGATTGATAAGAGTGATTGTCCTGCACTTCTTCCCGTGACGTTGTGGCTGCGTTTCACAAAGCGCACGATACGCATGGTATTATTTGATCTTTGATACGGATACGGTAAACAGGAATAAAACGATACATACAACCGCGTGCACCATGCGGTTTATCGTAATTTATTGGACTTGTCGCGGTCGCCTTCGTACCGTTAGTCTTCTATGTGTGGTAGTAAAATTTAATTGTGGGTAGTGGTTCGCGAGTTGAGAGAGAGAGAGAGAGAGAGAGAGAGAGAGAGAGAGAAGCATTCAAAGGCTGCAATAGTATTTTGAAAGGAAGAGAAAGGTAGCGGAGCAAAATGAAAACCAGACAACAGCGAAAAACAGACTTTTTTTCAATTCGTGAGGAATAGATACGTGGTTGCATGCTATCACACCGTGTGCGCACTCCCACGCCGCAGAAACAGTTCTCGTATTCCACCCTCGTGTACGGCGAGTCGGCGAGTTTCCCGATTAGGGAGCAGTAGCAAGTGACAGGAATAGGACGCGCGGATTTCCTAATTGGAACATTATATTTATATGCATGTGCGTATTATGTGCGCGCGCGCACACACACACACACGTGTGTATGTGTGTGTATGTATATATATTTTTTTTCTATACGACCCTGTTGCGTTGTATGAAATCCCCAAATATTTTTGCATCTAAAATGAGATAGATACATATTTTGCTTTGAAAAGAGAGAAAGCGATGATGTCGAGTGCCAAAAGTGCAAGCAACGCGAACAGACCTTATGTGTGCACTGGGTGTATGTGCGCGTGCGCGCACACGTTTACACACATGTATGTATACATATAATGACCTTGAATTTGACTGTTGCATTAAATGCTTTTATATAAAATAGAATTATCCCTTTTTTACATTATATAGTTTTTCTTAAGAAGCTAAATGCAGACGAATTTATTTAAGTAGCTTCGATATTTGAAGCTGAGCCAGATCTCTCATAATTATACAGCTATTTTTATTGAATATAAATATAATTTTCATTTGAAAACAGACTCTTACATAGTAATCGTATATTGATTGATACTTTTTGTATTTTTTATTTTTTATTTTGCAATTATTGCAAAATAAAACTACAGTTATAAAAATGATAACACAAACGTCTATTTTCTATATTAATGAAAGCAGATCATGACTATTTAATAAAACGAGAAAATAATGGATGGAACACGAGCAGCAGAAGTATTGCCATTGCTGCAAGAACGTTTAGCGATACTACCAGGTGGAAGGGATCGTAGAGGAGGACCTGTGCTTCTGTTTCCAAGTACACCGAGACGCGAACGTGCAAAACCCGAGGATTACAGACGTCTTCTACAATATTTATTTGCCATCCCGAGCGATGAAGCCAGGGGCTTGCGATTTACCGTGATTGTGGATATGCGTGGTACAACGTGGGACTCGGTCAAACCAATTCTTAAGGTTACATCCTTTTTCTTAATGTCTGTCAATTAAAAAATGTCATTTGCCTCCCATGTTGTAACGATTTTGTGAAATTATATGTGAATATCAAGTGTAAAAATAATTTACAAATATCTTTAGGTGCTACACGAGCATTTTCATCGTACAGTTCATGTAGCTTTTCTTATTAAACCAGACAACTTTTGGCAAAAACAGAGAACTTCATTGGGTAAACAGAAAAAATATAATTTTGAGGTAATTAAATTTGAATTATTATGTATACGTCGTAACTCTAATTATATTTTAACTATTATATTTATATTTATGTACAAGTTAAGGGATAAGATTGACTTTTCTTTTTAACCAAGTTAAGTTAAAGTTAACAGCTTTAAAAATTTAACTTAATTAAGATACAGGTTAATCCATAATAAAGTTAAAGTTGAATTAAATGTTAAGTTAATAAAAAAAGTAATTGAAAAGTTCAATTTATTTCACATTTTATGATTTCAGAGTCTCAGTTGTTTAATTAATTACTAACGAAAATAACAAATACAGTTTAATTCTCGGTTTGTTTAGAGTTTAGAAAGATACTTTAGATACATGTTTTGTTTACAATTAAATATCTATTAAATTGGAGTAATAAAGCTATTTTTAAATTTCTTATTAAATCGGATATTTTTTTTTCTCGAAAGTTGTCGAAAACAAGTCAGTTTCATGTACAAACAAATTTGCACGAGTTCGAGTATCAAGCCCCATATAATGTAGATCTACTTGTTGATCTTGTTGCGATAGGCGCGCAACGTTTCGTAATATCTTTATTTTCGCCAAAAGAATGGCTGACTTCATCTCTCAAGAAAGTTAAATTAAAGTTATTTAACTTTTCAACTTAATTCTCTCTTTAAATAGGCACTACTATCTTGATCCATACTATCTTGATTTATAAATATTTATAATGTTATCAATCTAAATTACATTAATTTCAGATTAATACAATCAGCTTAGAGGCTCTTGTAAAAGTTATAGATCCTTCTCAGCTTACTGCAGATTTAGATGGATCCTTGCAATACGATCATGCCCAGTGGATCGATACTAGATTAGTTGTGGAAGATTTTACGTGGCAGGCAGCAGATCTTCTTGATCGATTAGATGACTTGCAAGAGGATCTCAGTCGAAATGACTTTGCTGACGATGTTGCGGGAGCTAAGCACGGAATTGATCTACATAATGAGATGAAAAAAAAAATTATTAAAGTCCCAGTGGAAGATATCCAAGTTGTTGGACAACGCTTGCTTCAGCGATTTAACGATGGTTAACATTTGTCACCTTTGTCTTTTTGAAACAATACTAACAAAGTGCGCTTTCAATTACATACATGTGAGTACATATATGTATGTATTTTCAGACGCAACCAGTGGAGAAGGAGGAAGTATTGACTGTGGCGCGGCAAGTTGCACAGATTCTGATGGACGAGCACTGGCTACCTTGGTTATTCAGCATTTGGATTCTGTGCACGCAGCACAACAGCATCTCTTACAATTATGGCACATCAAGAAGATGAAATTAGATCAATGTTTTCAGCTCCGATTATTTGAGCAAGATTGCGAGAAAATGTTTGATTGGATTTGTCACAACCGAGAAGCGTTTCTCGCTAGTTACGTGGAGATTGGCCGATCGTATCAGTTGGCCAAAAATTTGCAGGAGGAACATAAACATTTTACAATGAGCTCGATGAATGTTTACGTGAATATCAATAAAATTCTCACAATGGCTGGCAAATTGCTGGAGACACAGCATTATGCGGCTGGGCATGTACGAGCGGTGGCAGGACGTCTGGATCAAGCTTGGAAGGAATTTGCCGCAGGTCTTGATGAACGTACCGCGGTACTTAGTTTAAGTGTAGTGTTTCATCATAAAGCGGAACAGTATGTCGATAATGTAGCTGGCTGGAGTCAAGCGTGCGAGATGAGTAATCTACCCAATGAAATTCCAGTGCTTGAATCTCACATTCGCCAACACCAAACTCTTTATGAAGCAATGTGTCAGGCATATACAGAGGTAAAACTTTTTCTCTTATTCTTACATACGCTTTACCATTATTCAATATGACTCGGATTTAAAGCGTAACGTAATTATCTTGACAATGAACAAGATTATTTTTACGTTATTGAACATTATATTCCAGCTTTCAGATATTTCTTTTCGTTTACATTGTAAATTTATCTGACATTTATCTGACAGGTTTACAATGCATATCAAGCATTATTGAGCGGCCTGGGTTCAATGCTGCAAGTATGTCATAATGTGAGCGCCCATTCTTCAGGGTCGGATACATTTCGCGTCGATTATGTACGAGAAATTTAATTTTTAAAGCTTTTGGCGATGGAATCCATTGCTCGCTTGGTATTTGGGTGCTATTGAAAATATCTATCCGCAAATTTTCTGCAATAATTAACATTTAAAGTAATCTTCTCATAACCCAGGCGTCTCAGTATTCTCAAACAGATTTTTGTATATAGGCGCATGTTTATTCGTTTATTACCGGTATCGTTATTATGGTTCGTTACTACGGTGTTGTTATCCTATTGTTTTTCGCAACGCGCCTTGATTAAAAATTAATTTATGTTAAACATTTATTTATCCTGTCATATATGTAGTCATATATGTATGTCATATCCGAAATGAACATTGTACACACACACACACACACACACACACACACGTACGCGCGCGCGCGTGC